TTCTACCTTTGCCACTGTGAGTAAAACATACTCTGCTTAGGATTCAAGTCTGTTTCCATTGCAGATGCTGCTGGGAATCTCTTACTGCAAAAAGGCCCCATGAATTACACCACTGAGCATAAGCTCCTGTATTTAAAGTCCATTTGTAACTGGCCACAGACTCAGAACTTTGGAGACTGGGGCCAAGGTTAATTGCTTGAGCCCAAGAGTTTGAAACCAGCCTGTGCAACACAGAGAAACCATCTCTAAATATTATTTATCTCATATGCATAAGTGTATTGCCTGAGTATTTGTAAGTACACTATATGAGTGTACTGCAGAGTATGCCTCTGAGTATGCCTGCAGAGTCCAGAAAAGGGCACTGGATACCTTGGAACTAAAGTTACAGACTGTTGTAAGTGTTGGAAACCAAACCCAGATCCTATTCAAGAGTAGCAAGTGCTTTTAGCTACTGAGCCATCTCTAACCACCACCACCTAATTCTTAAATTTTACTTTATTTTTTTATTTGTTTGAGACAGAGTCTCATTATATAACCCTGGCTGATGTGGAACTCACTATGTAGACTAGGCTGGCCTCAAATTCACAAAACCTCCTGAATTCTGAGATTAAAGGAATGTGCCACCATGCTTGACTACAGTTCACCTCTTATCAGAAGCTCACGTTTAAGTGTTTGAAAGAATCTTCTGATTATCAGATGCATTATCTATTGTACCACTGGCCCAGTGCTCAGTGTTTTATAAAAGAAACCTTTATGGAGCTGGAGAGATGGCTTAGCATGTTCCAGAGGACCTGAGTTCACTTCCTAGCACCACACTAGATGGCTTACAATCACCTGTAACTCCAGTTCCTCTGATACCTCACTTCTGATCTCTATGCTACAAACACACACACACACACACACACACACACACACACACACACACTCAAAGATTTTAAATGGTTTGGTCCTCTAAGGAAGAAATGAAGATGTTTTCACATAGTGTGTTCACTGGAAAAGGAAGGGCAGGTGAAAAGCAGGGTTTTGTCGCTGCCCCAAAGCTCTGAGAGAGATTCCCAACTCAGACCCTGCCAGATCCCTAGGTATTGTGAGCATGAGTTTCTGGTACTCATGTTATCACTCCTGATTGCCTGTGTCCTGGATGGTTTACAATCCCCTCTCCCAAGCTTAGCACTGTTTGTGGGGAATCCCATGTTTCATGGGCTCACTGCAGAATCACTGTCTTGTTGATGAGCTTGGAGAACAGGTAAGAAGGGAAACGTAAGAGCACCTTGGAGATGCAGGCAGTCAGCTGAGGGCCTCAATGGCAATATTCAAACTTCACCTATCTTCTTTCTTCCCTGCCAGGATGACCGGAAAGAAGGGATGGCTGCATTTGTGGAGAAAAGGAAGGCCAACTTCAAAGACCACTGAGAGCTGGCAGCTATACCACTTGCCACCCTGGAGAGGAAAGCTCAGCCTGTCAATTGAGAGGCAAATAAATTATCCAAAAGGATAGTAGTGTCGGCCACAGTTCCTACCGAAGGCTTCAGGGCTGTGGCCGCAGGTTGGGAACTTGCCGTGCGGCCTGCAACCTTCACCAGTTGTTGGAAGTCAATCTCTCACCATCTTCTAAATCAGAAATCTGGGAAGCCTTCAAGGTGTCTTGTTTTTTTTTTTTTTTAACTTCACTTTAAGGGCAGGTGCAAGCTTGGACCAGCCACTCCCCTGTGCACTATCCGCAGTGCTAGCTTGGGATGTGGGCTTCAAGAGGGAAGTAGTCCTGTCTGTTGATTCCCAACATGATCATTCAATGAAAGTAACTATTTCACAGTTTAGATTTGACTCACCTGTAGTTATCTCTAGAGAGTCAATATTTTTTTTTAATTATTATTGCTATTATTTTCTTATGGATAGGGTTTCACTGTGTATCCCTGGCTACCTGGAAGTTATTATATACACCAGGTTGACCCTAAACTCACAGAGATCAGCCAGCCTCAGTTTCCGAAGTGTTGGGGATTAAAGGTATATGCTACCACGCTGTGACTAGTTGTGTGTTTTTAACTTCACCATCTTAACCTTGTACAGCATCAAGCACTTTCACATCAATGAGCGGCCATCCCCATCATCAGGCTCCAGGACTCTGGTCTCTAGACCTTCATCTTCCCAAGTTAAAACTGTCTCCGTTAGACATTAAACACCAAACCCCGACCCCACTTCACAGCCTCTGGCACCAACCCTTTTACTTTCTATGAGAATGAGATGACTCCAGGTGCCTCATGAGTGGAATTAGAGTAATTGTTACATTGTGTTTGTTATGGTCCTTGTACAATGCAATGCAAGTATCTCCCCCTCCCTCACCATACATCAGTGTTGAAATCTAACCTCTCAAGGTGGTGGTCTTAAAATGCTAAAAGTTGGATGGGGTTCATGAGTGGATTTGTAAGGCCTGGAGGGAACTCTTGCAGCCCTTTTCCTATGAAGATGAAATGAGGAAGGGCCAGGAAGTCTGTCTCTGCCAGACAGCAAATCTACCTTCCTTCGACTTCTTGCCCCTAGAACTGTGAGAAGTTAAGCCATTGAGTTGTAGCATGTCAGAAGCATAAACTAAGACAAACATCCTCCAAGTTCATTCACATTGTAGTAGGTGTGTTTAAAGCCTGATATCTTATGCTGAGATGAAGACTTGTCATTTCTTCTTACAGTAGTGTGAGAGATACTTATTTTTGAAGTCATCTCAATATTTTGCTCAATATGTATTTGTCTTGAACTCCTGAATGTAAGCAGTCCTGATTCTGCCTTCCAGATAACTGTGACTACACTGGTATTCCCCCCATTCCCAGACAGGTAATATATATGGACAGTGCCTGGCTTCTCACCGTCTGGGCTACAGTGAATGGTAGGACAGAGTGTTAGTCAGGGTTTGTATTTCTGCACAAAACATCATGACCAAAAAGGAAGTTGGAGAGGAAAGGGTTTATTCAGCTTACACTTCCACATTGCTAGTCATCACCAAAGGAAGTCAGGACTGGAATTCACACAAAGCAGGAACTTGGAGGCAGAAGCTGATGCAGAGACCATGGGATGGTGCTGCTTACTGGCTTACTTCCTCTAGCTTGCTCAGCTTGCTTTCTTATAGAACTCAGGACCACCAGCCCAGGGATGGCACCACCCACAATGGGCTAGGCCCTCTCCCCATGATCACTAATTGAGAAAATGCCTTACAGCTGGATCTCATGGAGGCATTTCCTCAAGAGAGACTCTTTTCTCTATGATAACTCCGGCTTGTGTCAAGTTGACACACAAAACCAGCCAGTATAGAGAGTGACCTTCTACACTGGCCCTAGCATTTCAGTGGACTGTGGCTAGGATCCCAAGATCTGCTATGCCCAGAGGGTCCTTGTAGGGAAATGACTGCCTATTTGCTGTGGCAGTAGGGCATCAGGGCCATTCTGCAGCACCTTCAGTACCTATCAGTGTGAGAGTGGAGACTCACATGGAACCTCAGGTGTTTGCACAAAATTCACCTGATGGGGAAAGGCCAGCTGGAGCTACACAGTGAGACCTTATCTCAATTAAACAACAATGGAGGTTGGAGAGTCTGTGAGTTGAGACCTGCCTAAACTCCAGATTAAGACATATATCATAACCAAGTATTCAAAATTTGTTATGAAGTTAATACACAGCCCAGACCATGGTAACTGGCATGGTCCACTATACAGGGTCACCCAACCAAAGCTTCCTGTTCTAGGAGCCAGGCCTCAGGGCCTTTCTCCTGGTAAAGCTCCCTTTCCCCTAGAAGAAGGCATTGGATTCCCTCAGACTTTAGTTATAGACAATTATGAGCCACCGTGTGTGATAGGGATCAAACCTGGGTCTGCTGGAAGAGCAGCTAGTGCTCTTAGCCATTGAGCCATCTCTCCAGCCCCAGTGTTCACTTATTAAAGCTGGGCACACAAGAAAGTATGTGTTAGCCATTGACTGACACACAGCGTAGAATAAACAAGCAGAGGAGGCAACCACCCAACAGGAGAAGCCTTGAAACTGATGTCATGGAATCATTAGTTGTTTGTTTTATTTTGTTCTTTTAAAATATGCTTTTAAAAAAAATGCTGTTCCCACACTCCCCTGTCCCTGTGTACCACATGTGTGCCTGGTGGCTCAGAGGCCAGAAAAGAGCTGTAGATCCCTTGGAACTGGAGTTACAGATGGTTGTGAGCCACCAACCTCAAATCCCGTGGAAGATCAGCCAGTGCTCTTACCCACTGAGCCATCTTTCCAGCCCCTCATTGGTTTAATTTCTGTGTGTCCACTGAGCATATACCTCAGTCATTTGATTCTGAAAAATGGAGCAGTATTTTAGACGTCTCATGGGAGATTCAGACTCAACCCTGGGTCTAGCATAGCACACTCAGACCTGTGTGTGCTAGGTCTGCCCTAGCAGGATCGGAACCCACCCGCAGCCCTCAGCTTCCAGATGGCTCCTGACTTTAGAGAGTTCAAGAAAATTTGATGTATGCAGACTGCCCTAAGAAAGACCTCCCCTGGTGAAGCTCTCAGCTACTTAAAACTATTTGGTCTCTGGCCCCAGCACAAATCTGGGGTTTTGATTTGCTTTTGCCTCTATACTGACTTGCCTCTTGGACTGGTCCTAATCCCTTGAAACCACTCACACACTGAAGCAGAAAGCGCTCCCCTTACCTCCCACACTTTATCCATCACTACCACCAAGCTGGACAGCAGTGGCCATACCAAAGCCATCTAGACTGGGGCACCAGAGATCCTAGGGCCAAGGTGGTGCCTGACCTGTGTTCGTGAGTGCTTCTCAAACATTTTTCTGCTTCCCACACAGACTTATTTTCTGAACTTTCCCACAATCTGCCTGGCCTCAGAGTTTTGCATTTCACCCCAGAGCCAAGGGCCTAACACAGTTAGTTACCCAGTTGTTGGGCCCACCTCTCCTCCAGCCCCGCCCCAATCCATGTGGCACCGCCCAGCTGGCAACTCCCGCCCTCTACCAATTCTGCAGCCATGGTTGCGCTCAAGGGTATCCCGAAGGTGCTGTCCCCGGAGCTGTTGTTCGCTCTTGCGCGGATGGGGCATGGAGACGAGATTGGTGAGCACATAGAGAGCTGGCAGCGCGGCCCTCTGACAGGGGTGCGATCCACGCAGGAGTCCTTAACCCGCAGGATTCAGGAAAGGCTGGGGACACTGCCGCAATCGCCTTGCCCTTCGGAGCAGGAAACTATCCAGCTGCTTGAGGAAAGAGCTGAGCTGAGGCCTGCGATTGGACCAGGCCATAGAACAACGAGAAGGGCAAACCTGGTTCCAAGTTCAGCAGCAGCGGGGAGTAATTCCCAGACCTCCCACGTGGCCTCCCAGGCTACCCCGAGGTCTGCCGGTTTCTTGACCCTGGCCTGGTGCCCTAGGGCAAGGCGGGGACAAGACTGAGGCTGGAGTGTAACTATTGATTGGTTACTCCTCCCAGACACTGGTTTCATTTACAGTTTCTTTCTTTTTTCCTTAATCTTTTGAAAGTGATTACGGGGTGGCTCACGATCTAATCCACCAACTGGAGTGAGAGTGATATACTGGCCAGGCATGTGGACATCCCAGACAGTGGGCTGTGCTAATGCACAGGGAAGTGTGGCTTTGACATACGCATGGTTATGTGAGGTGACCATTAGGGAGGGAGAACTGCACTGATTCCAGCCCATCTTTCCCCTTTCTGACTTTTCAGTCCTTGCAGATGCGAACTTCCCTACCTCCTCCATCTGCCAGTGCGGGCCTGTAGAGATCCGAGCCGACGGTGAGCACCACAGGGCTGAGGTGGGAACAGTCCTGGTTCTGTGGCCTCTCTGTCCTGGCCCCTCATTCCTGTTGGCTGGTTGCTTAAATGTTGAGGTCCAAAAATAAAAGGTTTAGACAGGTGGGAGGTTACAGGTCATGTTGAGAGCAGAAGCCTGAACCCAGCTCTGCCTTCCTAGGCCTGAACATCCCACAGCTCCTGGAGGCTGTGCTGAAGCTCCTGCCCCTGGACACCTATGTGGAAAGCCCGGTGAGGACCAAAGGCTGTGTTGCTGATCTGGGCCTCAGTTTCCTCTTTGCTAGACTTCATATGGCTATATGTCTCAAAAGGGCTTCCTTCCTCAGTGGAGCCAGGGAGGTGTGTGAGGCCACAGAGCTGACCCCTGTCTCCCCAGGCTGCTGTCATGGACCTGGTGCCCAGTGACAAGAAGAAGGGCCTGCAGACCCCCATATGGGACCATTATGAATCCCTTCTTCTCAAAGCTGACTGTAAGGTGAGTGCAGCTCCAACCATGGGGCCCTCTGTCTCCTGGCAGCTCGGCCCTGGAAGGGTGAATCATGGGAGTGGACAGGGAAGAGGTGTGTCTGAGCTCTGTGGCCACCTCCCTCTCTTCCCAAGCCTCTTCCTCCCAGAATCCTGACCTATGTGCCTTGGGAGTTGGTCGCATTTGAGTCAGAGGATTGTGGTCTCCAGGATGGGGTCTTCTGTAACCTCCTACAAATGTCCGTCACCCTAGGTCTTGCTCTTTGCCACCTCATTTTTCTAAGGTCTGCCTGTCACACAGTGCGCATCCCTGCCTGGCAGGGGACACACCTATCCTTCTAAAGGAGCCATTAGATACGAGCAGCATCCCTTGAGTACTCTTGTCCTAGACAGAGGACTTCCAAGGAAGTTTAAAGGGTCTAGAGCAATGGTTCTCAACCTGTGGGTCGCAACCTCCAAAGATGAAAAAACATATTTATGTTGCAATTTGTTACAGTATAAAATTACAGTTATAAAATAGTAATGAAAATAATACAGTTAGGGGTCACCTCAGCCTAAGGTATTAAAGAGTAGTCACAACATTAGGAAGTGTCTTAGTTAGAGTTTTACTACTGTGAATAGACACCATGACCAAGGCAACACTTATAAGAACAATATTTAATTAAGGATGGCTTACAGGTTCAGGGGTTCAGTCCATTATCACCAATGTGGGAGCATGGCAGCATCCAGGCAGGCATGGTGCAGGAAGAGCTGAGAGTTCTACATCTTCATCTGAAGGCTGCTAGTGGAAGACTGACTTCCAGAGATCTAGGATGAGAGTCTTAAAGCCCATGCCCACAGTGACACACCTATTTCAACAAGGCCACACCTCCAAATAGTGCCACTCCTGGAGCCAAGCATATTCAAACCATGACAGGAAGGTTGAGAATCACTGATACCTTGCTGAGCTGAGTCCATACTCAGCAGGAACCTTGTCCTTCATAGGCTCAGGCAGGAATATAAAAGATGACCCTTATCTCTGGTTCCTTGAAACCCCAACATCAGGAGGACCAGAGGACTGGAGCCTAGAAGACCAGGGTTCCATTGCTGCTGCCTCCTGGCTATCTCCTGATGGGGGACTCAAGTCAGGAGTCCACCTAGAGGACTTTCAGACAAGGTCCCTCCAACTGCCTTTTGTCTTCCAGAAAGCCCTGATGAAGATAGAGAGATTTGAATTTTATGAACGTGCAAAAAAGGCATTTGCTGTTGTTGCAACTGGGTGAGTGTCTGCTGCATCCAGGTGACTTATTCAGGTCCCTGGGAACCGCCGCCACTTCTGCTTTGCCTGTGAAGACAGGAGGGATTTGGGCAGCAGAGTCCCTGGACATTGCTGAGCAGGAGGGATAGAAGCAGAAAGGGATCTGCTTTCTCTGAGGGCAAAGTTGGCGTCTCAGCACCCTGACCCTCTTGCAGGGAGACAGCACTCTATGGCAACATCATCCTCAAGAAGGGAACTCTTGACCTCGGACCCTCATAGAGACCACCCCAGGCTGACAGTTGACTGTGCCTGAACCCAATCAGCAAACCTTCCCTTGGCGGGAACCAGACCTGGACATCAGCCTCGGGTTCAAGAAGATGGCAGATCTTGAGAGACTCTGCTGACCCTGACAAATTCCCCCTTCCACGACTTGTGAAATTGATGAGGGAGGGAGAACAGTCATTGTCAATCTTTAATCTAAATGTTTTGTACTCATAAACTTGTCTTGTGGTGAGTTTCAGGAAGGCCATTAGCTTTCAAATAAGCATCCCTACCCATCCTTGATGAATCCTCAGTTAGAAAATCCACATGAGAATGAAGCATGGGGATGGTTTGAGGACTGGGAACTAGGCAGGAGCTAGGCCTGGGTAGGAACCTGGGAGCTGGATTGGGTCTGTGGCTATGGCCTGGCCTAGGCCTAGGCCAAGGGCTAGGCTAGTAGTTGATGTTGGGTATGGTACACAGCAGGGGGCTGGAGGTGGTTGCATTGGATGCCTGTATGGGATAAGAGCTTCTGCATTACCCACTTGGATTGCAATACACAGTGATTCTTGACTAGGGCCAATCTCTGAACTCCAAGCCAGAGGGCAAGTGACAGAGCTGGGCTGGACATCTTAGATAGAAGGGCTCTGACATTCAGAGATGACTGCTCAGCTGCTAGGGAGGGTATACGATCCTCTCTAGTTCAAGGTCAGAGAGGTCTGGCTGTGGGCTGGATCCCATGCAGATGTTTGGTAGGTTGAGCACCCACTACCTATGCATGAACAGCTATGTTAGGCCCAGGAACTCAGATGCAACCTGGCTGCTCCCAGCTTTGACTCCTCAGTTGTCCCAGGAGGTAAAGAATCACCTGAGGCTTGGTAAAGACAGAAATAAGAAGATCCGAGGAGGAGAACCTACGCAGGCAAGAAACAGTTCCCCTACTGAGTGCTTGGACTGGATCTCCAGTGCTTGTCTACAGACCATTGGTGAATGTTCATAGCAGTGTGGGAGCAATGGGCTCAAGTAATATGAAGACCCCAGATTTATCTGTAAGATAGAACATGGTTTCCTGCTTCGTGGGGCTTAGAGGCCATGGTGCATATGAGCCTTCACTCTCCCACTCATGTCCTTGAAGGAGTGGGGACAAGAGACATACACAGAGTTCTAGGGTGTGTGAGACCAGTAGACAACCTATATAGCTGCATGGGGTTTGGGTGCACTGAGATGGAGCATTAGTGGCCTCTGTTAAGCTGTCTGTTCTGCCTGAGCTACTAGGATTGGAAAATGTGTGCCTCTGTGACCCTTTAGTGCCTTCCACTGCACAGGTGGGATTAGTAGTCACCCCAGTACCTATACCACATGTAAGGTAATTCAGATGACACATGCTTAGGCCTTGTGAGCCAGGCCATGTGGAAGGACAGGCACCCCAGAAAGATCCAGGTACTGCCCAGAAAACTAGGACAGAGAGTATGTATCCTGACTCACTCTTTTAAGCACCTGTCCGATGATGTACCTATCTGCCTATGTACCCATGCACATATGTATACACTGTGTACACCCACACACCTCGATGCTTGTGTACACAGAAAGCTGTTTGCCTGCCCACCATTGTACCTATGTACAGTGTAACCATACACATGTACACCATCTGTATACATCATTGTAACTGTGGACCTGTTCATGTGTGTACCTATGAGTCTGCACATTTTAACTATGCACCTATGCATAGGTATACCTGTGCACATGTGAAACCATTTACCTGTACACCTACACACTCATCAACCTATGTCCCACACAACCTCCCTCCTCTTCAAGCATTTCCTCAGACTCTTCTGTGGGAAGTCCCAGGATGGGCTTCCCTTCTGAGGCTGATGCTGCTTACTGGTCCCTACACTGACTGCTGACACATCTATCATTTCATCCCTATGTGAGGAGAAATGGACCCAAGGAGAATTGTTCATGAGCTGAGGGTCAGGTAAACCTTGTGCCCTGTCCATTGGAAGGTTTTGATGAGCCATAGGTAGGACAGCTTAGTTCTTCCTCCAAGATGCAGCTTCTGTGTCCCAAAATTATTGGTCTTAAAGATACTCATTCCTTCCACCAATTTTCAGGTGTTTATTTTTTTTCTAGCTGGGGAGAGTCAGTGGTCACAACAGCCTGGACCTCAGGACAAGAGTGGGAAAGTGGTTAGGGCTCTCAAGAATCCTCCATAGAGTGGGAGATGTGGTCAAGGTCCTCCTCTGGTCCCTGCAGCACCTGACGATACAGGATGGGCCAAGACTGGGGCACTTCTTCATTCTGGACATCCTCGTACATGGGATGGTATATGCTGTCAAGATCCTGTTCTGGACCCTGAAGAGGATTCCGAAAGCGGCTCAGGATGTCCTCAGTCTCCACCCAGGTCATGGCATCTGTGGAAAGGCAGAAGTAGCTATAGCCTCCCTCACAAGATCCTTCCCACTAGCCTTCTGTCCGAATGGACCCCCATGATGTGGCCTTGATCCCACTCTGACCTGGGCGCTTTTCCTCAGCAGCTGCAAGCTTCTGCTTGGGTACAGGAAGCAGTGCCCCCAGCTGGTTGTCCTTTTCAAGAGGCTCCATGGCTCCAGTACCCCAGGCCCTGCCAGCATGAGCAGGGTAAGGTTCACACTCAGGTGAGGCGAGTTAGACATGACCAGCCCCACTTTCAAAGACATTCCCTGTCCCTAGGCAGCTGCTGGCCCTGGGAAGCTGTTTCACACCCACCCACTTTATCAACTGCCCAGTAAGGCCTGGGTCAAGTTCATGGCTCTGTGCTCCTAGCATCTCTACTGTACTAAGTGCAGGGATGGGGCCCAAGAAGGTCAGAGCCTTCCCTGAGCAGCATCCTCAAGGGTAAGGGAGGCATGCAATATGCTGTTCTAAAACAAAGCCCATTGGAGGCTGCAGGGAGAAGTGAGTCTGGGAGATGGCCAGGGGTCCCTAGTGCCTGCTCCTGGGAGGAAACCCCCAAGGAGGGATGCCTGTTGGGTTTGAGTATCACTTCTCCTAGAAGCTTCTGAACAGCCATGTTCTCCAGTTCCCCCAGTGCATCAGCCCACACTTGCTTTCTGGGACACTTACTTCTCTGTTTCCTGTTCAGGGAACACATGTTTGCCTTTGGTCTTGACAGAGACCTAGAGAGACCAGGTGAGGATTTTGCTAGTTAGTGACCCAAGGTTGGAGGACACCAGGGAGAGGCTACTCTAAGACCCATCTACAGGTAGGACTTCAGTGCAACCTGTGTTTAACTCTAGGAGATGAGGATTATTATGGATATAAGAATTGCAGATAGAGGATTTAGGACACCAGCCTGTTCCCAAATTGCCAGCCTTCCCAAACACCCAGCCAGCTTAGGAGAAAATAGAGCTCTTCAGCTGGTACCCAGGGCTCACTTTGGACTCTGCACCCTTACTCCACCCCAGTGTTTTGCACTAATTAAAGCTGTGCTCGCCCCTCCCCATCCTGGCTAGTGGCCCAGAAGGTAGTCAGCTCCTCTGAACTTAATACCTTAATGAAGACAAAGTACCAAGAAGGATGTGAGGCACAGGGTGACCCTGGGGAAGTGCCCAGCTCCAAGAAGCTGTGGGTGGCTATGGAAGGTGGGCCTCCCTCATCTTCTTTTTTCTGCCACGTGTGCAGAGTGAGTGGACTTGGCCCAGGGCAAGCTCAGTGCATTTTCAGCCAGGGTAACTGTTTCCAGTCTATAAATCATGCCCTGAGTGAGTCTACACAGTACGGAGAGGACCCACCTCACACAGGGTCTTCTGAGGTATTTTAGACTTCCACGTCCTCAGCCATAATCACCTGTGTCATGACCCATATCCTCTTATCCTGGGGCCACCCGAACACCATGAAGGACCATGTTCCCCCATCCTGGGGTCTTGCAGGTGTCACGGAGGCTCACATCCCTATGTGGTTACATAGGTGTGAAGGAGACCCATGTCCTTTGGGTCGCCTGGATGTTGTCGAAGCCCATATCCTCATCTGGTAACCTCGGTGCCTTGGAGATTTTCCCAGTAGACCCCAGAAGGGCTCAGACCCTTTTCTTCCTGAGGTCCCTCCTCAGTGTTCACATGGAGCTGCTACCACATCCATCACACATCCCTGCCTTGACTCCCTTCTCCTTGCTAGCTTAGGGTGTGGAGAGACAGAAGTCCTTTCTGGTATTCCCTGCTAACTAGGGCAGAGGTTGGCAGCCATGAATGGGGTGAAGTAGAGGGGCCCTTGCATACCTGGTGTGCTGGGATTGCACCTGCCTCCCACAGCAGTGCAGCCACCAAACAGGTGGCCAGGAGAAACCTAGGGGACCAGAAAGGGAATGTGAAGCGGTGAGGGATCACCTTAGCTCCAGACCTACCAGAGCAGGTAGCCTGTGTGTGTCATAGACAGAGAGACCAAGAGATGTCTCTCCTGATCCATTGGAAGATCTCGACTCTGGTCTTACAGAAAAGGACCTGCAGGCAGGATAAGCAAGCAAGATGTTCAGGACACTCCTGCTCTATGTCTCGATGACAAGTTCTCCATCTGTGGCCAAGACACCTCATGCCCTACGATGACAGGACACTGGCAGTGCTGAGGATTCCAGAGGCTACCTAAGGACACACATGTGAGCTTGCACATATACATATGCCTGAAAACATCGATGGAGGGGATGGATGGAGGCCCTAGCACACCGCCATGCACTCTTGAGGCCATGATCCATGGTATTGGGAGTAACTTCCAGTGGACCCTCAGGTGGCCAGTAGCCCCAGCCCCATCATGCAGACAGAAGAAATGCTGAACATATGGTTGTGAAGAGATGTGCATGTGTGTGAAGTATGTGTGTATTTGTTGGTATATGGTATGCATGTATATACATTGTGTGTGTGTGTGTATGTGTGTGTGTCTGTGTGTGTGTGTGTGTCTGTGTGTGTGTGTGTGTGTGTGTATACAGAATGAGACCTCAAAGAAATCTCTCTTCTCTATGATTCAGCCCTTTGGGATAGGGATCAAAGGACAGCAGATGGGGATCTGGCTACATAGGCTTGAGTAGCCCTGCCTCACCTCAGGACCACTAGGCAGAGGCCTATTGTGTGCTGGGAAGAGAAATGAACATGGAAACTCTCATCCTAGCCTTTGTATTGCCCCCCCATCTACCTCCATGATGACTAAGGTCATG